GTTGATTTCCACTCATAGCAACCCTACAGAACAGAGTAGAACTGCCCCATAGTGTTTCCAAGGAGTGCTTGGTGGATTCAAACTGCGGACCTTTTGGTTAGCAGCCATAGCCCTTAACCACTATGCCACTAGGGTTTCCTCTGTCTCTTATTTTGCTGTTTTTTCCTATCAAAGTCTCTAAAGAAATTACTGTAAGATTGCTAAGCTTTGCCACGTGTTTCTCTTCCCCCCCCAACTCACATTCTACTCTGTTATCCATTCCCATACCACCCTTGTTTCGAACAACCCTGCCCATACAACTCCTCAAGTTGTCTATTACTAAAGTTAGCTTACATATCAAACAAGCCATTTATTCTGTAATATAAGTGTCTATATTTACCATAGAATTTCAGGTTTTAAGAAAAAAGACATTTAGTCCAACAGACAAATGATGTCTTAATTCATTTAAAGCATCCATTCTAACAGCAAACACTCATAAGGTATTAGTAGGAGCTGGGCACTGTTCAATGAATTTCATATATATTAAGTCACTTAATCTTCATAAAAATCCTATGAGATGGGTTAATATTATTACCATCATTTTATAGACGAGTAAATTAAACAGTTTTCCCAAGGTTACACAGCTAGTAAGTAGCAGAGCAAGATTTGAAGCCAGGTAGTCTGGCTCCAGCATCCAAGTTCTTAACCACTGCCTTGCCTCCCCATGTTTGTGGAACTCTCAGATTAGAAAGTCTCTGTTTGGCCAGCATACTGATCAAAAAAAAAAAAGGAGGAGAGAGTAATAAAGCATGCGTGGCAAAATGTTAACAATTGGTGTGTAGGTGAAAGAAGGGCATACAGGAGTTCCTGCGCTATTCTTGCAATCTTCCTGTAAGTTTGAAATTTTCAAAATAAAGTTAAAAACTGCCTTTATCATCATACGATGGAGCATGTTTTGTGAAAGTAATGACCAAATTCCCTATTGCTGGCCAGCAAAGCGGGCTTTAAGATAAAAAAACTCTGAGTCCTTATAATACCCCACCATACCTGACACCTAAATTCTCCACACCACTCCTGTCAGACTACTTTCACTGGAGAGAAAGTAGCCTGAAAAAGGGAAGAAGATGACACTGTCCCTGAACGAAAATAGTAAACGTGGGCCCCATTCCCAGTGTTTAACGTTTAATAATGAACGACATGCAATTCCAAGTAGAACTGGGGAAAAACATTACTTCCAAAAGGTACATTATACAACATAACTAAAAACAAATCAATCCACATTCTTATTTCCCCTTGATAGTCCTAACCAGAACAGTTGTTCTTCCCTTCTTACAATCTCCCTGCCAGGCGTTTTATCGGGGCTGTACTGGAAACCTTGGAGGCAGATGCATTTAAGCACAGCAATCCGTATTTCAGCTTCATGTGATATTTAACTCCTTTTGCCAGGGAACAGAACATGAAAGAATATTTGTAATTATTCACACCCTGATTACCTACAGTTCATTTGTTTAGGGAAGTTTCTTGTTACTATTACACTAAATTACCCACGAAAAATAATTTGGGTTCTTAAACTCATAAAATTCCCATACACTTTGTGAACAAAATCTCCTGAAGCTTCGTGGCTCAACTGGTGACAAAAAAATACAATGATAACAAACATTTTCTTTGAAACGCTGATGTTCAAAACTATCACCTCAAACTTGTTTTTTTATTAACAAGCGTAAAATACATTTCCAACACAGTACTGAAAAGGAACACTTTTGTGCTGCTACCCTAACATGTTCTAGGTGACCAGTTCCTCTTCTGCAGAAAATGGTTACATTTAAGGTTTTCACTGGTTCAGTGATCCAGTAAAGTATGCTGATAGCTTCCTTTATTGGACACGAACCAACTAGGATTCTTTTTACACTATCCTTTGGACTGCTTCCCCCGAAAGGAAGCAGGATTAAGGACAAATTAAAATTTACAACATCAATAATTTCCAGGAACTTGCTCAAAAATGGAAGGGAGGAGATGTGTGAAAGGTTGAAACTACAGACTAAAGTAAAAGTTTCAAAATTACATTACAAGTTTATTAATCTATGCTGTTTTGCTTCCCAGTCTCAACTTCCTTTCAGCCTTACCCACAAAAATCCCTCACTGATTGTCATGAAGTGCCTTATTTAACCAAGGCTTACTTAAGCACCTCACTTAGTGTACCAGACTCTAAGACAGGTACTAAACAGATAAAGAGATAAGACAGTACCTACACTCAAGCAGCACACATTCTAGTGGAAAAGTCAAAAATAAGTAGACAATTATAATACAGTATGATACATACACTATTCGAAATACCTGCTACAAGACTCTCCTAGCAAACTGGCAAAATCATTCCAAACCACATGCCTGAAAATTCTCTGGAAAAACAAATTCCAGTGATAATCAAATGAAGTTTGGGGCATTTCCGGGTAGTTTAAGAAATTAGGACAGTAATGGTACGCATATGGAAAGATCTGTTCTAAAAATTGGAATGATATCCATTCTAACATATCTGGCTCCCATGGGCTTTAAGGAAAATAGATCTTTTACATACATTATGCCAACTTGGATGACAAGCCCTCTAAGTGAGGACTAGCAAGGGCTCATTTTAGTTCTGGCTGTTTTTTCTGTTCTCTCTGGAGAATGGTAACATATTAGTGGTTAAGTCCATGGACTTTGTAGAGATTTTCAGCAAACGTCTAGTTTCTCTGAGGCTTGATTTTCTTAAAAAATAGTTGTGGGGAATTAATAGTACATGTAAAATGCTAGCCACAGTTTTAAAATAAAAAAAAAAAAAGGTTGGTGGGTTAGTAACAGGGGATCATCAGGTACCAAAACAGTAGTCAATAAACTATACAGAGGTAATCATTTTGTTATTCCAATTGATAGTGATCTATCTGTATCCATCCTATCTTACCACCCCTAGAGAGCAAACACCTCATATACCTAAGGCTGGATTGCAACTGCTTGGAGTTTTTTGGGGTTTTTTTGTTTTTTGTTTTTAATAGATCTCCAATAGTCCCAATTTTACGCTAGCTGAGAGATCATGTTCTAGTCTCTCTGACTCTCTCCATAATTGGCACTAGAGGGGCACTAGAACTCTAACCTTCCAGAAGGGACCCATCCCACCTGAACACACATAACAAAGAAACCAACAGTCTATAGGAGTCAAACGAGGAAAGGAAAATCTGCATAACTCGTATTTGTCTTCATTTTTTACCCCAAAAGCAAAACAAAAAACAAAAAGGAGATTTACTGATCACCACCTCATACTATATTTCCTGAAAGAACTAACGGAGGCGAGGTAAAATATAAACCTTCCCTCTTATCACCCAAAAGGCTCTATACTATACACCAGTCAAAACAAAGCCTCAGTTGGTAGAAATGGTTCTGGACGCTAGTTATCTAGGATGCTGTATACAAAGCCCAGTATTTAAAGCCAGACCCAAATCACCACCACTCAGTCATCCAGAACCTATTTTCAAACTGCCTTTGTACTCCTTCTCCAGATTCCCTCATCCCTCCCCCTAAAGGCTGAGTGGGAAACCAACACACTGGCAGCAACATGACCAACCTTCCAAAGATCCACCAAGAAATCTCCCAGGGCAAGGGGAACATTTGAAAGAAAATTTGGAAAATATTAAACAAGAACTCCAGCCCAACAGATTGTACACGTTGTCTTTTTTTTTTTTTAACTGCACTTGCTATAATTATAAGATCGAGGCATTAAACATTTACTATAGTCCTTGCGTAGACTGTATGAAAAAACAAGAACAAGTTCTGTTTCCTCTAAAACCACAACCTTACAAGAATGAATGATCTTTCAAGAAATACCCTCATTCTATTAAAAAGAAATTCAAGGAAGTGTTCTAGTCTAAAAACAATTGGGAAGCAGGGAGCAGAATCAGGGAATTATTAAAGATACACACCAGCTTAAAGCTAATGAGCAGTTTACACATTAAGGCCCATCTTGTCACAATTAGGGCCGTATCTATTCCAGCTATAATTTTCAGATTGATTCACATTTTCAAAGAGAGAAGGAAGATAACATCCCACTTTTCAGCTGTTAATGAGTTGGCTATATAACTCTCTAGAATCAGTATTTTTGCAAGAATGTATTTGCAAAAAACAAAACAAATCTTAAGATTAAATGTAAGATTTAACAAAAGCAGTCATGGGCCTTCAGCTCCTACACATTTCTGATTTCATGGTAAATTAATCAAACAAAAAACTCACCTCCAAAAAACAACTTTCCGTTGAGTTTAAAATAGAAATTCTCTTTGTGCTTTCTCAAATGCATTTTAAACACTAAAGTTTAAGTGGTTTCTTTTAACCTAACCTTATTTAATCCATTGCCCTCTCAGAGAGCACAAAGCTGAAAATACTTTCAGGTGTGTTGCTACTTTACTCAGGTGAACTAAAAGGCATGATTAGAATTTTCTTACCCCTTTAAGCACATATACCCAATGTTATCGTATTTGCAGATTTAACATACAACACCTCCACAAACCTTAGCCATCAAAGGTAGTTGTAGGAGGAAGGCGGGGATGGCAATTCAGTTAACATGGAACCATTTGTTTTCTTTTATAAGGCAAAACAGGGAGGCTACGTCTAGCAGGAGTGAGGCTCCCACCCACCGCACCTGGAAAAGTAAAAGAGGGATCCACCCAGGAACAGCAGGGCTGAAACCAATCCGGGCCGTTCAAACTCTCCGGGGGAGAAAACAACACCGTTTACACTGCAAAACTCTCTGCAACTTTCCACTTCCACAAATATCAACGATAAAAGAACGAAAAAGAAGTTTTGAAACATATGAAGAACCATCTGTATAACTAGCTCCCAACCCAGACAAATTCTTTTCCCAACCCACACGCAACACGCCAAATAGCAACTTTTGGTTTGGGCTCTAAACACAGAACTATGTTAGCTTAATCCAGGAAAAATATATATATATACAAAACCAAAGAACACACAAAAATGTAAATTTACAGAACTGCTCTTACCCCACTGGATCTAGAGTCTCCTTGTGTTAGAGAGACCTAGAAGTTTGTTTCTAGGTCTTGCATATTTTATCTTTTTTTTTTAATATAATAAAATACCAAAATACCCCAAAGTACTGAAAGTAGAAAGAAAATAATAATTGCTTAAGATTCACCCATCAGCACAGCAGACTCGCTCTCGTTTTTAAATTCCCTTTGGTTACCTTAAGACAAAATCTCGACTGGTTTATCCTCCTTCGCCCGTCTGTAACACATTTTTTTTTAAAAGGCACACACCTCAAATGTGGACTTTAAAAAACAATCCTTTAAGAAAGAAACCCAAGGCTTCGCCAATGTGCTGAGAAAGACAAATCCAGCAAGGCAGTTGATTTTTCGCCACCTCTTCCTCCTTCAGGATCTTTCCTGCTCTTCTTTCTCTCTCTCCCTCTCTCTCTTTTTTTTCTCTCAGATCCAACACCTAAAATGGAAGTTGCACCCAGCCAAAGGCAAGGAAGCCTGGGTGGTGACAAACTGATCTGGCAGCCCTACCCCCTTGCTTTCCTAAGTGATGTCAGCCCCTGAGAGCTTCCAATAGGAACCAGGCATAAATCAGGGAGCTGACTTTATCCAATAGGAAACTTTATTATAGGAAATTAAAAAAAGAGAGACAGAGGAGGAGAGAAAGAGACGGGGAAATTTTATATATATATTTATATTTAAAGCAAGACTATACAATCTCTGAGGAATTACTGCAGAGCTCCAGGGGGTGCTAAGGGAACAAGGGCTTCTAAGAATGGCACGCCTAAGCCAAGTTATCTTCGATGGTGGGGTTCTTGCTCCCTGTCCCTTTCCGGGTGGGGAAACAGAAAAGAGCTGATTTTATTTGCCTGCTGGTGTTTCATTTGTTGCTTTCTACCTCAAAGCATTTTCCCAAAGGAAGACAGGAAGGGAAGGAGACAGAAATCCTCGAAACAAGACTACTGTGTGCTGATGGGGTGGGAGGGGATATCTGGGAGGTAAACTCGGAATTTCACTATTTTGGTTTAACTGCATTAGAGCTAATTAGAGAAAAAAAAATGCCTGAGCTTGTTAACATTGTTTAGTCTCTATAGTTTCAACTAGAGGGGAACTGAATCCACTGGGCTATTGAGGAATATCACATGTTCCCATTTGTCCCCAAATCAAAATAATGTGGGTTTGAGGGAGAAAAGTAAATGGAATCCAATAACCAAGCAATATATTTAGAGGGGATACAGCATGTATAAGGAAAAATCTCACGTGAAGAAAATTCTATTTCAGTGTGATCTCCAAGCTGAAGATGATATAGTTCATAAATTGTCTTTTAACACTTGACCTGAATAAAGGATTATAGGGGTATTATTTTTCTAAGTTAAGAGATATCCTTAATATGTTCTTAGACCATGAAGGACAGGGGCTGGATTTTTTTTTAATATATGCTTGATGAAGATTAGTACTTTAGGGTCATTCAGTGATTAATGACGAATTGAAGATTTCCTTTTTCTTTCTTACTGAAGAATCTCAAACCCTGTCCTGTAGACTGCTGCCAAATGAATCCTCTTCATTAAGTTTTCATAATCTAGAACAGTGGTTAAGAGCATAGGTTCCGCAGTCAGACCACCTGGCTTCAAAGCCTATCTCTGTAAGTACACTTACTTCCTCAACTGAGTGTACTACTATGTGACCTTGGACATGTTATATGATCTCTCTGAACCACAGTTTCCTTAACTATAAAATGGGGATGATAACTCTATCTCTCTCACAGGATTATTGTGAGAATTAAAGTTCTTAAACAATGTATGGCATAGAGTATAAACTCAATGAGCTATTATTATTACCCTGCCTAAAAACTTTCAATGTCTCACCATTGCCCAATAAAGGCAAGCAATGACTGATAGTCTATCATGTAAGAGGCACTTTGCACTCATTGTCTCGAACTTCTAAAACACCACAATGGAGATAGTATTACCTCCATTTTATAGGTGAGGAAATCAAGCCTCAGGAAGGTTAAGCAACTTGCCTGAGCTCAGCTGGCTAAGAAGTGAACCCCTCATCAATCTGACTCCAAAGCTGTACTCTTTCCATCACCTTACGCTGTTCTCAGGATAAAGGCCAAATTCCTCATCTGCTTTCATGGTATCACGTTTATTCATTCAACACATTAAAGTAACGCTATTAACGATAATCTGACCTTTCCTTATCTATCTAAACAGGAATTCCACTCCACTCTAATCAAGCTGATGCAGTCATTAGCCACCCCCTCATATCTGGTGTAGAGTCTCATAAACCAAAAACCCATTGCCGTCAAGAACTGCTCCACAGGGTTTCCAAGGAGTGCCTGGTGGATTCGAACTGCCGGCTTTTTGGGTAGCTCTTAACCACTGTGCCTTCAGGGCCCCAGAGAGTCTCATAGACCCTCATACTTGGTCTGTGGCGGCCAAAAAGGACTTCTCTCAGAAGTGCTGAAAGACCAAACAGGCATCACAGCACTTGTCTGATGGGCTTTAAACAAAGAACAGTGGGAAATGAGGACATTATAGCAAAGAAATAAACAGCCCTTAACTCATAATCTAAGAATTTTCTCTCATTACTTTAACACATCTTCTACCTCTAAACCAAAAAAAAACACACCTACTGCCATCAAGTCGATTCCGACTCATAGCAACCTTATAGGACAGAGTAGAACTGCCCCCACAGGGTTTTCAAGGCTGTAAATCTTTACAGAAGCAGACTGCCACATCTTTCTCCTGAAAAGTGGCTAGTGGGTTCCAACTGCCAACCTTCTGGTTAGCAGCTGAGCGCTTTAACCACTGTGCAACCAGGGCCAGACATCTTCCACCTCTACTCTCCATCTATTCCTGGTCCTCTATAGCAAGTTCAAAAGCCAAAGATGATAATCAAAGGAAACAATCAGAACAAGAAATGTTTGTTTATTCATTGGTTCCTAGATCAGAGCTATATTCTGGAATGTGCTAGGATTTTCTAGGGATCGATTAAAAAAAAAAACCCAAACCCATTGCCATCGAGTTGATTCCGACTCACAGCGACCCTACAGGACAGAGTAGAACTGCCCCATAGGGTTTCCAGGGATCAGCTGGTGGATTCCAATTGCCGATCTTTTCGTCAGCAGCCTTAGCTAGCTGTACAGATCGAATAGTCTTGTTTATTTCATGTTACTGCTCAAAACTTGCAAGTATTTTGTCTTTTTTTTCCGTGTGTTTCTGTGTGTGTGTATGTGTGAGTTTTCTTGTCTCCCCACCAGAAGATAAGTCCATAAAGACATGGCCACTGCTTTTCCTGTTGATGGTATATCCCTAAAGCTCAGCCTTATATCTCATATTTAGCAGTAGCTGAATGAGTGAATGAAGTCTCTTTGCTTGTATAATTCTGTACAAGTCATTTAGTATTGATGAGTTTGTAGATAACATTCAAAATGAAATGATATACAAATCAAGAAAGATAATTAAATGGTAAAATTTAAATTTATCTGAAACAGCTGTCTTCAAATAAAGCATCACAAGCATTAATATTTAGTGACTGAGGGAAAAAACTGTTTACACTCAGTTAACAGGAAACAAAAGACTAGTTTCACTTGGGTTATTCTGAGCACCTACTGCGAGTCAGGTACTCTTCTAGATGTCAAGAATGATAAGATAGGCAAGTTTCCTGCTCTCCTAAATCTTATATTCTAGGTGTGTGGTGGGGTGGGGGGGCCGGTGTATGAAGAGAAGATTAATAAGTAAGATAATGTCAGATGGAATGCTATGCAGAAATTTAAAACAGATTGATGAGAATCTGTTGGGAATGAGAATGACGAAAATGACTTGGGGCTTACTCTAGATTGGATGTCAGGGACAAACTCTGAAAGGGTGACATTTAGGTTGAAATCTTAGTGATAAATAGAGGCCAACCACTAGAAGAAAAATATGAGCAGTAAGCAGAGGTAACTGTTAATGCCAAAGCCCTACAGTGTGGGGTTGAAACATACTAGGCCAGGCAGAGCATGTTGAAAATGAGGACAGAGGGAGAAGTGGGATCAGAAGATGAAGCAGCAAAAAAGAGGAAGGCCCTCAACAAGATGGACAGACACAGTGGCTGCAGCAATGGGCTCAAGCATAAGAAAGACTGTGAGGATGGCGTTGCACCCCACAGTGTTTTGTTCTGTTGTATGTAGGATCGCTGTGAGTCGGAACCGACTCCATGGTACCTAACAACAACAATAACATGGGTCTGAGAAGAAGCCCTGGTGGTGTAGTGGTTAAGTTCTTGGCCGCTAACTGAATAGTCGGCAATTGAAACCCACCAGCCCCTCCTTGGGAGAAAGATGTGTCAGTCTGCTTCCTTAAATATTATAGCCTTGGAAACCCTATGGGGCAGTTCTACTCTGTCCTATAGGTTCGCTATGAGTCAGAATCGACTCCACCGAAATGGGCTACAACAGGCTGTGATCTAACTCCGTTTTGAAAAGATCTGGCTGCTTATATAACAAACAAGTTAAAGAGGGTCAAGAGTGAAAGCAAGCTGACTCATTCAAAGGCTGCTGCAGTGGTCAAGTTACAGTGATAGGGAAGTGGATGAAGGTGGTAGCAGTAAAAATGGAGAGAGGACAATGGATTTGAGGATATGTTTTAGAAATACAGGGTTGTTTCTTGTTTGTGGAATTTTTTTTTCTTTCTTTTTGGGTATTTTGTTTTGCTTTGCTTTGTTTTATTTTTAATGCATGAAATATTACATTCAGTGCTTGGTTTTACAACCTTCAAAGTTTAACTTCCCCACCTACCACCATCACCACATACACACACACACACAAAAACCAAGATACCCTAAAATGGTGAGAAATTAGGGAAGAACTGACAGAGATTTAAAAAAAAAAAAGTTTAAAAAAATATTTAAATTATTATATCATGCAAAGTGCTGTGCTATGCTGAATCTACTTCTAAAACAGACTAAAACTATAAATATCAAGGAGTAGAGATGAAAACAAAACAACTCCAAAGAAACACTGGCTATCCACACAAAGGAAAACAAAATATTTTTACTCCTTTCTACCCTCTGGTGGCTACATATCATCACCCAAAGTTTGCCATTTTTGAAGCCCTGGAATGACCATTTATCATTCCCCTTAGAAATTCCTAACACAAAATTTAGCTAAAGTGGTGGTGGACTACAAAGAGAAAAGAAAAAAAAGGGATTCTTCTCTACTTCTTGAAAATTAATTTCATCCTGATGACAATATATTCATGAGGGGATATAATATTTATATTTTTTCTAACTAGTTCCACCTGCAGAACCAAGTCTTTATTCTACAGTAACAGATGCCATAAACAAATATTGTTCTGCCCTTAGCTTTTTTCTTTCTTTCTTTTATTTTCCTTTATGCTGTTGACAACATCTAAAACCTGTCCTCCTTCTGCTAAGTTTTATGTCCTTTCACAAATTGCTTCCTCTTTAAACTATGACAACTACAGCTGAAAATCTTCCGCTTCTTTTCTTTTTGTCTTAAGAAAAAATGCTTCAAACTAGGAAAAATACTACCTGACTTGGAGGTGCCCCCGCCCTCCCATATTTCGGTCCGCCACCTCAAATCCTTTTTGAAAAGAGGTTAGATATCAATATCAACGAAGACATACTTGAGTACATTGTACTACTCACCTCTCTAGTTTTCGTCCCTTTTCAGGTCCCCCTTCTCTTAGGCATCTGCCTCTTCTCCTTCCAGTCGGCCTCAGCGGGGGCGACTGCGTTTCGATTCACCACACTCTGCCACCAGGGTCTTTGGACTCAGCCATTTTTTTTTCGATACATCACCTGAGGGGCTGGACCGGAAGTTAGGCTCCGGGTCCTAATGCACCCAGCGGAAGCTTGGGCCAGGAGATTTCTAATATGGGTTGGCATTCTAAACGTTTAATCTTGAGATCACTTAATTTTTAGTGTCGTCAGTGAAAACAGCTATTCCTAGTCAGCAACTTGCGCTGAACAAATCACCTCTCGAAGGACACCAGAGGCCACTCCTGAGGGGATTTCTGCAACCGTCTTGGTCACCAGTTCTCCGAGATGTGGAATCAGTGAAAAAATTGAATTCAGAAAGTAGCCCAACGACCTTGTTTCACAATATTCCCTGACTTTGGGAGATATCTAGATTAGAATATGGGGCTTTTTCTTGCATTAAGCCTGGAGCATCCTTAGCCTGGCCAAGGTTATTTGCAGCCCCTCTCGGGGGAAGAAGGAGGTGTTCTTTAATCGCCTTGGGCCTGCCCTATTAGAGTGCCCTGCCCCTCCTATCAGGGTGTTTCTACGAGTGCGAGTGCCGAGGGAAAAGACGATGGCTTTGAGAATTCCTCTCCAGCCGGCCCTTCTCTCTACCTCTCACAGCCCAACCACGTCGCCTCAGCCCGCAAGTCCCTCGAGACGTAGCCTCCCTCCCAAAGTTCTCCTCCCTCTCTGATTGGCTCTCCCAGGCGCCCTCGGCCAATGGGGATGACGTACTCAGCAGACGAAGGCCAGAGGGCTGGGGGAAGGAGGAAGGACGTCGGGTCCCGCGACGCTCTGCGCGAGGACGGTGGCGCGTGGCCTGTGGGCCTCGGGGCCTCGAGCTCTCGCTGCCAGCACCACCCGGTGCATGTGGGCGCTGGGGGCCTTGGCAGTAGGAGCGTGCCAAGGTGGGGCTGCAAATCCTGTGCGGCCTGGAGGTGGCGGTGTGGGCGAACCGTGAATTCGGGCCTCCGGATCACCCACGCTCCATTCCCAGAAACCTTCGCGCCGAGAGGTTCTCTTCAAAGGAGTTGGGCCGGGCGCCGGGACTGGCCGGCAATCCTGCTTTGCGGGGCCCATCCAAGACCTTCTTTCTCCATCAACCCAGTTTGCTTTGGTTCTGGAGGGTGAGAGGAGCCGTTCAGGCCATTGGCCCATTTGTGCTGCTTTGCTAAACCTCCACGCACGAGGCTGGACTTTGGGAGGAAGCAAGGTAGGCTGGCCAGGCGACCTAGCAGAGAGAGGACAGCAGGAGCAATATCTACTGCAGAACAGTTCCAGGTTGGGTCTGGGGGCAAGGCCAGGTGCCCGTAGCCAGGGAATCACCCCCAGGGCCTAAGTTTGGGCCCTTGCAAGAGCTGCCATTCTCCACCCACATCACTCTGTCTCTGATCAGAATTGAGCCTGCCTTTCCTTGGTTTACCTTTCCACTCTTTTCTTTCCTGATAGTTTTGACCTGAATTATTCGGATCCTCGGTGCCATCTGACAGAAGACGGCATTGTCAGGAAAGGAGCACATCTTTGCAGTGAGTGTGGAAGTTTCAGTGTAAAAATCTGGAAATGTACTAAGCCTAAAATCAGGCTATCCAGTTTGCTTTGGGAACAGTACAGTGCCTAACTATCCTTGCTCTGTTGCTATCCAGGTAATTAGCCAGACTGACAAACCTAAAGGCCAAATTCTTCACCATCTGCCGGGGTCACACACACCCCCCTTATTCAAGAACATTTGAACCAAGTGTCCTTGTTTCTGTGGCGACCTTTCCACCTAGTCCAGCAGCTTCACTTCTTTATTGTGCACCCTCTGCTGGTTAGTGTGATAGAGTTCAGAGAAAAGGGGTGTGGGACTTACTTGAGCTAATTTGATACTCAGTATTTTTAAAAGTGTTTAACTGAGAATTATATCCATGGACCTGGAAAGTGGTGGTGCTAAGGAAGAATATCAGTAGTCAGCACAGCAGGAGTTGAGTTTCAGTAATAATGTGAATGAGGATAACAATGGCTTCCATTTTTGGGTGATAGTTATTATGTGCCAGGCACGCACTGTGCTAAGCAATTAATTTTACATGCATTGGCTCATTTAATCTTTAAAATAACGTTATAAGCACGTATTCATATCATTATAACTACTATTATTATCATTCCCATACTATTACCATTGACATAGTTGAGAAAACTGAGACTCAACGGAAGTCATTTGCCTCAGATCGTATAGCTAGGCTAATGAATAGCAGAGCCAAGATTCAAACCTAGACTTATCTCTGAGTTCACACAGGTTACTATGATGATATTCCACTTTGAGATACCCTTGGCACAACTTCTGGGCTGTTTCCTCAACTTATACTGTATCTCTCCTAATATTTCCCTGCCATTTCAACGACAAAAAGCAAATTAGGTATAATCATGCCTCTGAAATGTATTATCTCACCCACAGGAATCTGATCTGTGAAAACCTAGGAGGTTTGTTAAGAGAATACCAACATGTATTCTCCTGCCAGCACGAAAATCCTGTACAGGAACCCTCGGTTCCTCCGACTAGCCTTTTTGCAGCTTCATCACCAGCAGCAGAGTGGTGTGTTCTGTGATGTCCTTCTGCAGGCAGAAGGTAAGAGACTGGTAGGGACTCAGTTGAAAACTCAACCATAGAATAGGATGAGTTTAGGGCTAGGGCAGGGACAAAAACCAGGAAAATGTGTTATATCATCTTTGAGCACTGTAAGCTACTTAGAAAAGAGCAGTTCCTAGGAAAGTTACTGTTTTTAAGAGTAAAATTGTGACTAGGCTTTTCTCTTGAAAAATGAAACTAATTTTAAAGTTTTGTAAGCATAGAAATTCTAATAAAACGTGGATAGTATCTTAATGGAGTGGTTGTGAAGATGAAGAGTTAAAGTATGTAAAGCATATAGAACAGTGCTTTGAATGTACTAAGCACAATATAAGTGTTAGATGATACTATTTCATATTTTTCCATTTACTTGCCAAAGTGTTGCTTAAGTTTTTTTTCCCCTTGCCCTCAAATTGGTGATTTTTTGTCGTCATTAGAACTAAAAATGTATAGCTTATTCCTACCCCTTCGCTTCATACTTGAAATAGTAAATCAGTATGAAGTGGAGCCTGGTAGAAGGCCCAAGACTAGGAGTCAGATGACCTGAAGTAAGTCCTAGCTTTGTTACTTGGTAATGAAGTTACAAATGGGCAAGTAACTTCATCTCTCTGGGACTCTGTCTCTTCATTTATAAAAAGATTATGACAGCCAACATTGTGTAGCCCTCTATAGTTTGCAGAGCAGATACAGTATAGTATTTCATTTGATTCTTATAACAATTTGTGAAGTAAGTAATATTATATGGTTCCAGTTCTACAGATGAGCAATTTGATGCCTAGAGAGTTAAGTGACTTGCCTGTTGGTTCTATTAGTAAGTGCAGAGCTGGGATTCATTTAATTCAAAACGAATAATCAAAAAAACTATTAAGTGCCTGTTGTGTGCCAAATGCACACAAATGTGTGTTAAGACCTTGGCTGCTAACCAAAAGGTTGGCAGTTTTAATCCACCAGCTGTTCTTGGAAACCCTATGGGGCAGTTCTGTGCTGTCCTTTAGGGTCACTATGAATCAGAATCGACTCGACAGCAACAGGTTTGTGTTTGGTGTGTGCCAAAATGTACAAGTGTGGGTATACTGTGTATAACCCATTGCCGGCAAGTCAGTTCCCACTCACAGCAACCCTATAGGACAGAGTAGAACTGCCCCATAGGGTTTCCAAGGAGCAGCTGGTGGTATATATAAGATAAAGTCCCTGCTGTAAGGAAATCATGCAAGGGGGAGATATTTAAGTAACCAGTCAATTACTGTGCAGTATAATGAATAATCCCCAGCACAGTGGTTAAGTGCTTGGCTGCTAACCAAAAGGTCAGTGGTTCGAACCTGCCAGCCTTGGAAACCTTACGGGGCAGTTCTACTCTGTCCTGTATGGTTGCTGTGAGTCGAAATTGACTCTACAGCAATGGGTTTTTTAGGGACAATAAATAATATAATGGGCTAAGTATAGGCTGATAAGGGAGCCCTAGTGGCACAGTGGTTAAGCACTTAGCTGCTAACCCAAAGGTCAGTGGTTTGAACCACTAACCACTTCGTGGGAGAAGGATGTGGCAATTTACTTCCGTAAAGATTCTATCCTGTCCTATATGGTCACTGAGTTGAAATCGACTTGATGGCAGCAGGTTTGGTTTTTTTTTGGTTATAGGCTGATGTAGGGAGTAGAAAAGAGAAATAACTCTCACACATTTGGGGAGGATTGGAGGCAGGGGTTAAGGAAATTCTCTTGAGGGAAATGACCTGCAGGACAAACAGAAGTAGGAGCAAGTGGGGAAAGATTTTTCCAGGCAGAGAGAACACATGTACACAGGTCCAGAGATGTCACCAGGAATTTTTGAGTGGTTCAGTATGGCTGGAGCACAGATTACAATAGGTACCAGAGATGTGGCTGGAGAAAGGGCAGTCATGTAAGGTCTGGAGGTCATACACATGAAGTAGGACTTGTCTTCAGGACACTGGGAAATGTACTGAAAAGTTTTAAGCAGATGACATGATCACATACCTGCTTTAGGAACAGCATTCCAGCTGCATATGAAGAATTACTGGATTGTTGATGAGCCCAGACAGGCTGTTTTGTAATACAGTAGAGGATGGTGGCCTAAGGTAGCGGCATTAAGAATGCAGAGAAATGTATGGCTTATGAGCTATTAATGAGCATTTACAAAACTTACTGAAGTGGTTAAGAGCCTGGACTCTGTAGCCATACTCCCTGGGTTCAAATCTTGTCTTTTCTACTTCAAAAAAAAAAAAAACTAAACCCATTGCCGTCAATTCCAACACATGGTAACCCCGTGTTACGGAGTAGAACTGCTCCTTAAGTTTTTCTTGGCTGTAATCTTTAAGGAAACACATCACCAGGCTGGGTGGGTTTGCAAACTGCTTGCACCACCCACAGACTGCTACTTATTAACTTGATAATCACCGGCGTGTTACTTAATATGTCTCAGTTCACTCATCTATAATAACAGTAGCTACTTCACGGGGTTGCAGTGAACAGGAAATGAATTGGTAACTGGTAAAACCCTTAGAACAATGCCTGGCACATAATAAGCACTCAAGAAGTATTGGCTTTTTTTTTTTTAATTAGATGAGGTGGATAGGGCATAGAGAAGAATCAAGATAACTTCTACTTTTCAAACGTGGGCAACTGGGTGAATGTGATAACCTTATTTTGAAGTAGGAAACATAGAGAAAGGCTTTTTTGGGGTAGGGAATGATGAGTTCATTTTCTGGAAGGGTTGCATTAGAAGTGTTTGCAAAGGTCATGGAAGCTCCATAGACACATCCAAACTCCCTAAGGGACCGAATTGCTGGGCTAAGGGCTGTGGGGACCATGGTGTCAGGGAACATCTAGCTCAATTGGCATAACATAGTTTATAAAGAAAATGTTCTACATTCCACTTTGGTGAGGAGCGTCTGGGGTCTTAAAAGCCTGTGAGCAGCCTTCTAAGATACTCCACTGGTCTCACCACTTCGGGAGCAAAGGAGAATGAAGACAACTAAAGATACAAGGGAAAGATTAGTCCCAAGGACACAACTGCCATGGCCTCCATTAGACTGAGTCCAGTATAACTAGATAGTACCCAACTACCACCACTGACTGCTCTGACGGGATCACAATAGAGGGTCCCGGACAGAGCTGGAGAAAAATGTAGAACAAAATTCTAACTCACAAAAAAAGACCAGATCTACTGGCCTGACAGAGACCCGAGAAACCCCAAGAGTACGGCCCCCAGACACCATTTTAGCTCAGTAATAAAGTCACTCCTGAGGTTCATGCTTCAGCCAAAGATTAGACAGGCCCATAAAACGAGACTAAAGGGGCACACCAGCCAGAGGCAAGGACTAGAAGGCAGAAGGGGACTGGAAAGCTGGTTAATAGGGAACCCAAGGTCAAGAAGGGAGAGTGTTGATATGTCATGGGGTTGTTAACCAGTGTCATAAAACAAAATGTGTACCGTTTAATGAGAAAATAGTTTGTTCTGTAAACCTTCATCTAAAGTATAATTAAAAAAAGAAGTGCTTATAAGACATCCACATAGACATACAGGCTGTGGCGTGTTTAATGTCTCAGGCGAGAGATCTGAGCAGAGGTATGGATCTGAGAGAAGGGCGCTCTGGACAGACCACTGCCTGGTAGTGCTAGAGCTCAGGAGAGTTGAACCCTGATTGTCTGCCTCCAAAGCTCATGCTTTCTGTTAGACTACAAGTTGCTTCTATAAAATCTTTTTTAAACTCTTGTGTGAGTAAAGAAAAAAATTATCCAGCAAGTATTTGATCCTGTTTTGTTTCAAGCAGTGAATATACTCAGTGAACAAGACAGACATGGTCCCTGTCCTCACAGAGCTTACAGTCTAGTGAAGGAGATGCACAATTCCAGTAGATAACCAAGCACTATGATAGCTACAGAGTACCTCTTTTGTGCCCAGGAGCACCTAACCCAGAGGAATGCTTTCTGAAGGAAGTGATGTCTGAGCTAGACTTTGAAGGATAAAAACAAGTTAGCAAGGCAAAAGGTAATGGCAGAAGGTTCCAGGCAGGCAGAAGGAACAGATTTCTCCTACCTGGATTTCCATGGAAAATAAGAGAAGGGGCAGTACATTTGGGTAATAACGTCTTTGCTTAGCCCATGAACGTGCCTGTCTGCATGAGATAAAGTATTTGGGTTTCCCCACAGGTGAGGCAGTCCCAGCCCATTGCTGCATTCTGTCGGCCTGCAGCCCCTTCTTCACAGAGCGCCTAGAGCGGGAGAGGCCAGCACAGGGTCGGAAGGTGGTGCTAGAGCTGGGAGGCCTGAAGATCAGGACACTTAGGAAGCTGGTGGACTTCCTCTACACCTCAGAGATGGAAGTATCTCGAGAAGAAGCCCAGGATGTGCTCTCTGCTGCCCGTCAGCTCCGTGTATCAGAGTTAGAATCCCTTCAGCTAGAGGGTGGAAAGCTGGTGAAGGCCCCTCAGGGCCGCAGACTGAACCGGGAGTGCTTACAACCTCCAATCTCTGCCAGGGTGGTGGCACCTAGCCGCCGCCCCCGAGCTCCACTGCCTGTTATCCAGACTGCTTGTCCTCCTGGGGCAGTGAGGTTGAAGTCCTCAGGGAAGGTGGAGGGCACCCAGGAGAAGAGCAACCGACAGAACACAGAGAACTTGTCTGGCACTCTTCTGCTCAAAAGGAGGACCCGAGGCTGCTCAACTCAAGAAAAAAGCTCTTCACCATCAAGCCACAGTCAGGGGCCTAAGGAGAACAAGAGTGACCCTGACCTTTGTCCTACAGCTCTTTCCCCACCCAGCTTGTACCCCTCCGTGGATGAGAGACTGTTGCCCAGAAAGATCAGGCTAAGCCGCTCAAAGCCATCTCCTGATGTGTGTACATCCAAGTCTCCCAGCATTTTAAGCGGACCCAGCTCAGTGTCCACAGCCCCTGGCCGGCGTCTTTGGCGGCAGAGGAGTATAAAAAAAGAAGTGCCAGAGGACAAGCAGAAACCAGGGAGAGCTAGTCCTCTACAGAGCACTTCAAGCCCCTCTGGTCTTGGGAAGACAGCTGGGAGCAGGAAGCGGAGCCCTGAAGGCAGGGCCCCTAACTCCGACTCTGCAGAGGAGGGGCAGGTTGGGAGAGTGAAACTTCGGAAGATTGTCAATGGAACCTGCTGGGAGGTGGTGCAGGAGCCTCCCCTCAAAGACTCTCAAGATAGCCCCCAGATCCCAGAACCTGGGGGAGACTTAGAAGAGCCTCCAGGGACTCAGTCATCCTCAGTTAACGAGCAGGAAATGCCATCTGCTCCAACAGACCTATGTCAGGACTCACCTGTGTGCTCTAGGCTACAAGACATTCTGCTCTCTGCTAGCTGCTCCCCAGACCACCCAGTGGTGAAGTCCGAGTTTGAGTCTAGTCCAGAGCTGGTAGGGAAGGAGTCGGTGTTAGACATTGACTGCAGAGAGCCCTGTGCACTTGACACAGCCTTGCTCGGGCAGCCCTGCGAAGCCGAAGAGTACCGAATCACAAGTGCTGCTGCCACCAGTGAGCTGGAGGAGATCCTGGACTTCATGCTTTGTGGCTCTGACATTGAGCCACCTATAGGGTCTCTGGAGAGTCCTGAGGCTGAGGGCTGCAGGACCCCCAGTTATCACCTGACAGACACAGGGAAGAACTGGATTGAAGGAGAAGAATGGTGTTTGCCAGACATGGAACTCTGGCCCAGGGAGCTCACAGGATTGGAAAAGGAACCTGTTGGTGATGACAAAGAGCCACTCAGCCCCCTTGTCATGCCCTCAGAGATGAGCGAAGGGGAGGTACTTTCAGTAGGAGGCTCTTGGACTGCCAACATTAAGACTACAAGCTCCCAGCCACTGGATGGTCAGAGAGACAAACTTCTCCACATTGACTCACTTGACCCTCCCCAAAGGTCCTATGAAGATCTCTCCCCTTCCTGTTCAAACTGGGTGGACATGGGGCTGGAAGTGCCCTTAACTATGGATGAGGTACTGTACCCTGCTCCAGAGGCAGGCAAGGAGGTGACTGTTAACTCTGAGCTGCTGGGGCCACTTCCTGCCAACTCTGAAGAGGAAGAGATTGATGTGGTGGACTGGACAGCAGAGGGGAGGCAGGTGCCCACCAGTTTTCCATCCGTATGGCCTGACCCTTCCTCAGAGTCAGAAACAGAGGTAGATATACTAACGTAGTGGGGAGAGGAGGCAGGCTGGGGGCCCTGGGAAGGTGGGAAATGTTGGCTAGCAAAAGGTGCACTGGCGGAGGGACTAGCACATGCCATCTTAGCACAAGAGGCAGGTGTACTCCTGGCTCTTTGTAGGTCTCCTCCTCCCCTCCCAGGCTTTGGGAGTCAGGCAGAAGTCAAGTAGTACCATGGGGAGTAAATTATGAAGTCTTTCTCTGCAATCTATTTTCCAGTCAGTGACAACAAGTGAAATAATACACTGTAGTCTCAAACTCCAGCAGGCCATAGATAACAGGCAAAGCCAGGTCTCCCAGGCCATGAGGCATCTAGTCACTGCTCTTCATGAAGAGTTGAGAAAGAACACCCTCTGGTGTGGGTTAAGAGACAATGTTTCAGACGGTAAAGCAGTGTTAGTAGTGGAATACTAGCAAGTGGTAGTGAAAGGACTTTAATAAGAACCTAATGTGTATGGGAAGCCCTGGTGGCACAATAAGAGCTACAGCTTCTAACCAAAAGGTCGTCAGTTCGAATCCACCAGACACTCCTTGGAAAACCTGTGACACAGTTCTCCTGTCCTATAGGGTCGCTATGAGTCAGAATCGACTTGATGGCAGTGGGTTTAAAATGTGTATGGAGCTTCTCATTGCCAGTACAGTAAGTCCCCAGGTTAGAAAAGTCCGACTTACTGCCAACTCCTACTTGCCCTTTAATGTTACATAAACTCACCCTCACTTTGAAAGGACTGAACCAACCCCTACTTGCAACAAATTCTCCCTCACAATCACTTTCACTTGCTGCGCCTGCAGCTTTTAAATCACTGAGAAGGCTTCCAGCCTTTTCTTGCACTAAAGTAAGGCTAAAGAAGAACCGTACGCACCTGTTCCAGCTTACCTACAAATTCGACTTAAAAGACACACTTAGGAACTGATCTCCTTCGTGACCTGGGGACTGCCTGTATGGGAAGTCTAGCCAAAACCTCTGCAGGGGCCCAGGAAGATGCACTTCTATTCATCACTTCCAAGAAGTGAACTGAAACAGACAGTTGCTTTTTTAAAAAAAAATAAATTATTTACTTCTCTACCGTAGTGTTGCAAGTGTTTCACACGCTCTCCCAGAGACTCCAGGAATTCCAAATTAAATAGCGACCTTAGGCTATGAAAAATACAAGGGGGCCCAATCCCACAAGGCTGGTTTTTGTCCATCCCTTATCATATGATTAAGTTTTGCTTTATTACTCAAATACTTTATATCAAGAACTTTTATTAAAAAAAGCAAATCCAAAAACTTTTGCAATGCCTTACTAGAGGTTTGCCTCACAACTGAACCATTATTTCTGGAGGGGAAGAAACCGTGGCTTCAGGCACATGACTGATATTTGGCCATGTTCCGTCATAAATGCTCCAACATCACCAGGGACAGAGGCTGCAAATGTGAGAAGGAGAAAAGGTTAAAGAAGGGACTCAAGCAATCGTAAGGCCTGAGGAAGATGTGTCTTTCCCCCCACCCGTGAACCCCCAAACCCAGGAGCCCAAGGATCGCATCTTCCCCGTAGACTGTTAAGCACCTAACATGCCAGAGCACTATATGAAGCCCTACAGATAAAGACAAGGTCAAGTCCTCATGACCAGGAGTGACAGTACTCTAATGCAGTGTTAACAATAACACTGCACCATTAATAGAACTTATCAGTAACAACGCGGCGGGAGGGGGGGAGTACAGGGGTAAGCATACATGAAACCAAACCAACCTGTTGCCCTCGAGTCGATTCCAATTCATAGGGACCCTAAAGGACAGAGTAGAACTGCCCCCAAGGAGCAGCTGGTGGATTTAACTGCTGACCTTTTGGTTAGCAGTGGAACACTTAACCATTGCACCACCAGGGCTCCAAGCATATGTGAAGTAACACAAAAGATTTCTGCCAGTAAAAGGGGAAAATTACTACTCATACAAACAAAAACACACGTCAAATGTTTCAGACGGTAAAGCAGTGTTAGTAGTGGAATACTAGCAAGTGGTAGTGAAAGGACTTTAATAAGAACCTAATGTGTATGGGAATTAATAAATATAAAACACCATCATAAATGTGGAAATTTTCAAATAAATGCAGAACTGGTCCATATCCACAGAGCAACAACTGCATCACCAACGGGCATAAATTGCACTTCTACAAAGAATCATTTACATTACCATTAGTCTACAACTTGGCTGAAAAAATGAAAGATGGAGTTAACCTGCTGTAGTAGGGCACAGGAAACAGTAGTTTTTTGCCCATTTCAATTTTTTTCCTGCCAGTAAAAAGGGGAAGAGACATTCCCAATAGAGGAAATCCTGAGATCAAGTAAAAGTTATGAAAATGCAAATCCCCGTGTGGAATGAGCTTTAACAGTAAGGGCTGCTTTGCAAGTAGCCCTACCATCAACACCCCCGTCCTCGTTCCCCATTTCAAACCTCAGCTTGAGGACTTCCACCCAAACCTCCCTATGAAAGGTACTTCTTCAGCTCCTCCACCACCTCCTGAGGCTCGGGGAATTTGAGTTTGCGTGGGGGCCCCTTCTTAATGCCAGTCCAGAGCTCCGCACCTGGGAAAGGGCCAAATAAAGCAAAGTTACTCTGAGATTCATCAGCATTGTCTCCACGATCATCAGATGGCGACGGTTTCAGAGACTACCTCTTCCCCACTCGCACCCCCATGCCCCTCTCCCCGCGGGACCCGCACTCACTGCTGCCGTCCGGGCGCTGCAGCGTCACCTCGAAGCTGCCCCTCCGAGGTTTGGCGGGGTTCACCTTCACTGAAAGCTCAGGGGCCTCCAGGCGCAGCGCCTGGCTCAGGGCCGCGGCGTTGCGTCCGTAGACGCGTCAGCTCGTGCTAGGAAGAGACGGGAAGGTCAGGGACGGGGCCCTTGGTCCGCGACGTTCTTGCCCCCCACGACTCTCCCGGGCCTCACCAATGCTCGATGACGATGACCGCCTCCTCCACTGCCGCCTGGCCGCCAGCCGACTTCTCTCGCTTCTCGGCCGCCGCCACCACCGCCGCCTCGGCCTTTCGCTTCCTCCCGCGGGAAGCCATGGCGCCTGGAGCCTGGCGGGGAACGGAGCGACTTGCGGGGTACTGAGCGAAACCGGACAATGGAGGCCCTCGCTCTGCAGCCCAGACCGCAAGGAGAAACTTCCGCTAAGGAACAAGGAGCCGCTGCAGAAGAGGCGGAAAGCGTGACCTGCGGCGCGCTGCTGAGCTCTGGAGGCGGGGCCTTCGGGCACAACCACTTCGCAGTTGCCGGGGGGGAGGCACAAAGAGGGAGGGGACCGGGGACTGGGTAGCTCTGAAAGCAAGACTCGCGGTTAAAACACACATGCACGCTTCCGCCTAAATAGTGTACGCCGCAACCTCTGTGTCCGCAAGCCCTCTTCCTGGGAAGCATGGACCAGCCACTAGCCTAGTCCTCCTAACTGCGGGCCGTCTGTATTCTGGACTAAGGAAACTCTTGTTACTTGTCAGTCACCCCGACTCACGGTAACCCCATGCACAACAGAATAAAAGCTTTTTGGTCCTGTACCACCCCCCACCCCCCACCCCCACCCCGAGCAGACCTTTGTGATTCACAAGGTTTTCATTGGCTGATTTTCAGAAGCAGATCACCAGGCCTTTCTTCCTAGTAGTCTTAGTCTGGAAGCTCTGCTGAAACTTGTTCAGCTTCAGAGCAGCAGGCAAACTACCACTGAGGGGATGGGAGTGGGAGGTGGCTGTGCATGCGGGGCGTTGGCTGAGAATCAAGCCCCAGTTTCCTGCACGCAAGGGCGAGATTTGCACCACTGAACCATCACTGCCCCCTTACGGAAATTAGCTTTCCCATCCTCTCCTCAATCCTGGGGACAAATGCCCCACATCTGATGGAACCAAACTCTGCCTGGCCTTTCTAATACAAGAAAAACACACAAAGGCACAATCAAAACGAAACCTCAGTCTTTTTATTATGGAAAACCATCAACAGAAAGTGGGATAATTGAAATTGGGTTGTTGCGATAATAGAAACCCCAATCCTGCCCAGGATTTTTTCCCCCAGGCCCTACCATACAAAGCCTCTATACCCCTCCCCCAACCCCACAAAGTACAGGCATTATTCAGTACTACCCTCAATGAAGAAAACTCTCTCACTGGTTCTGAGGAGAGACCTTTACTCACAATGTTAGTCTTATACTTTTTAATGAAGGCCATAGACCAAGCTAGAAGGGCCTAAGGAAACAAGGGTCCTTGAGACCTATAAGGAAAAATCTTAGTGCTGACTCTGTACCCCAGCATTGTATGTTAGTGTTTAATCTAAGTAGGCTGTATAGGTCCACTAAGAGGAGTAATGAAACCACGGCGTAGTAGAGATGTGTGACTAGTGGACAGCAACTGACACACTGATCCCAAGTCAGGGATAAAAAGAAACCCAAACTTGAAGGGAAACCATTTCTCCTCCATTAAATGGGATTTCCCATCCCCCAGGGAAATAGCTGGCCATGGCAGGGGAGGCCCCTGGACAGTGCGTGACAATTCCCTGCTTGCCTCTTTAAAATCAGAAGTAGCACCCTGCCTCACCCAGGCACAACCCAACAGGGGAAGCATAAATAACAAAGGCACGGCCTCAGGCAGGGCTGGTGGATGCAGAGGGTCAGGGCCTCAATGGTGCCTGGGAAGGGACTGGACAGAGAAGGGCACTAACAAGGCCGGGGTCCTATTTGTCCTTCTTGCTTTCCCCATCTGGCACTGGGGTGGGAGTTGGGGCCTCAGGCCTTTCCGCAGGGATGTGGTCTCCAGCCTTTGAAGGCTTCTTGGCCCGCTGGTACAGCTCATTCAAGCTGAATTCTCGGATTACACTCTCCTGTGAAAAAGAGATGCACACATCAGGGTTCAGCTTTGAAGGGAGAGTTAAGGGCTCCTCTTGGGGAACCAGTTGCTACCAAGTCGACTCTGACCCATGTCAAACCCATGTGTGTCAGAGTAGAACTGTGCTCCAAGGGGTTTTCAAGAGCTGATTTTTCAGAAGTAGATGACCAAGCCTTTCTTCCAAGATGCTTTTGAGTGAACTTTCGGTTAGCAGCAGAGCAAATTAACCATTTGCACCACGCAGGGACTCCACTGAGGGAATAAGGAATCAAAGGACAGAAACCTGCCCTAATCTTCCTCTTTTCCGGGTATTTGGGGAAAGTCAACTAGTAAGTGCCTATTATGTGCTGAAGACTGAAGAATTGATGCCTTTGAATTGTGGTGTTGGCGAAGAATATGGAATATACCATAGACTGCCAGAAGAACAAACAAATTTGTCTCGGAAGAAGTACAGCCAGAGTGCTCCTTAGAAGCAAGGATGCCAAGACTTCATCTCATGTACTTTGGACATGTTATCAGAAGGGATCAGTCCCTGGAGAAGGACACCATGCTTGGTAAAGCAGAAGGGTCAGTGTAAAAGAGGAAGACCCTCAATGAGATGGATTGACGACACAGTGGCTGCGACAATGGGCTCAAACATAGCCTCGACTGTGAGGATGGCATAGGACTGGGCAGTGTTTCATTCTGTTGTACACAGGGTCACTATGAGCTGGAACCAACTCAACAGTACATAACAACAACAACAATTATGTGCCAATCACTGTGCCAAGATTTAGATGTACATTATTTAAAGTAATCTGCAAAACAACCCTGTGAATCAGGTATTATTGTCCCCAATTTACCAACAAGGAACCTAAGGCCTACATACCACAGGTGCAGAGCCTCAGGGACAGAGTCTTACTAATAACTGTTCCCCAGTACTAGCAAGTCTGGCACATAGTACAAGCATAATATAAATTTGCTAAGTGAATTAATGAATGAGGTCTAGTAACTAGTCCACGCTTTCAAACCAGTGGACAAGTGGCACAGCTGAGAATCAAACCCAGGTTGGGTTCCATCTACTGTTCCACACCCTTCTCCAAACCAGCTGCCCATCCTTTCAAGGTACCTCAGAGAAGGTCCAAGAGACAGCTCGCCCTTTCTTGTCAATCTGTGGCCGCCGCATTACCTCCTTGCCACCTTGGAACAGGATCAGGGTAGGGAGCTGCTTGGTGAGGGGCGATGTGCTCACTTTGTACCTACAGGACCCAGAAAGGACTCTGTAAATGCATCTATGTACATCACATAAAGCGATTCCCTGCTCAGACCCTCTGCCCAGGTCCTTACCGTGTACTAACGTCAGTGTAGCGGCCAACGTCCACCTTCCCAAAATTTAGCCCTGTACAGTTGTACCTGAGAAGAATATATTATTTAGCATACTGAAGGAAGAGAGAATGGCTCAAGGGAAACTGAGGGGAACAGCTCTGGTTGGGGGCAATGTACAAAATCTAGGCCAAAAACAATGAGGGGGGAGGTACAGCATCTCAGTTTCCATCATCATCCCTCCCTCTTTGTACTACTCACTTGAGGGAGAGGTCGGCATAGATAGGAGCAAATGATTGGCAGTCATTGGACCAATTGGCAAAGAACTCCACAATCCAAGTGACCCTCTTATCCCGCTCCAGCTCTTCCTGTCACACAGGGAAGGAACAGTGAGCTGGATGACACAGGCTCCTGTGAAAGCTCAGACTTTAGTGCTGAATTCCTTATTCTGGTTCCCCCTCTCCCCTCTTCTCTAGCTCCCATAATAAGCCACATTGCCCTTGACTTCCATCCTGAAGCACCCTTGCTCCTCCTAGTGAATAGAGAGCACAATTACAAAACCACCCACCAGGGCCCAAGACACAGAAGGGAGGAGGGCACTCACATCAATGGTTTTATCATTGAAGTACTTGATGTACTCAGGGCCCATGTACAGGGGGGGTTTGCACGTCATCAGGAACACTAAACACAAAAAGATGTCAGAGGAAATGCATAAGGCCTCGGGCAGTGGGTTTACTTCCAAACCAACTCAAAGATTTCAGCCACCAAAGAATACACACTTTGTGAACATATGTAGGATACATTCCTTTCCTCTTAAGTCTCTGTAGACTCTCGTCATCTGAGCTACACACATTATTAATTAGGTGTAAGATAAACACAAGAAGAGTGTGGAGACACTGGTTTGGGATTGGAATCTGGCTTCCACAACCAAGCCTCTATCTAACATAATCTTACAAAGGCAGTCTCCTCACCTATGCAGAGTGTGATATAAAGCAGGCCCATGCGAATATCCAGGCGGAAGAAAAGAATAGCGTTGGCCACTTTACTAAACATGAAGATGTTGCCTATATGTTGCTCCACGGTGACTGAAACACAGAGATGTCACAGGTCAGGTTGAGCTGCACGTGCCTATATCCCATTATTTGTCCCTCTTCCTGGGGCAGTTTGAAAAGGGGGTGGGAAGCCCAAGATCAAATTCAGCCTTGGCATGGAATGTGGGACTAGTTCACCAAATAACGCCCCCCTCATAACACAAATGAAAGCACCTCTGCAGGGCACTCTGCCTCCCCCTGAGAGACTGAGAAACCAGCCACACTTACTGGATCTGCGGTTCTTCATCATCACAATGGCACTGAGAAACATCAGGATCTCAACTTCTCTCTGCAATAGAATCAAAACGACAGAAATGCCATGAAGAGAGAGGACTGACCAAAGGACAAGGGAGTCAAATATGGAATAAAACCCAAAAGAGATCCAAATTGAGAATGACAATGACGGGATAACTGGAGGCAGCTCAGGTGAAGCAGGGAAAACATCAGACAGAAGATTTAGATTCAGGTTCCACCCCTGCCACAACCTGACTGGGTGCCGTTCACCAAATCATTTAACCTCTGAGCTTTGGTTTCCTCAACTGAACAGCATCTATTTCAAATTGCTATTGTGAGGGTTAAAAGAGACAATGGATATGAAAAGGTAGTATAAAGTATGATATGGTGTACACATATAACATATTACTTTAACCAAATTAGTGTGACTCTGGTAAAATAAAACTTTTCTAGGGAAATTTTATCAGTAATATCCCATTAATACAATATCTGGCTATTCCATCTGTTGGTTTTGCTTAAGTCATTCCTCTCCACCCAGTATTCACAGTGATAATCTGTGTATCTCTGTTCTATTCAAGAGCTGAAGGGTGCCTTTCAGAGCTCATTAAAGCCCATTTCAATACCTTTGGTTTACAGTTCTTTCTCACCCTCTAAAATCTAAGCTCTGTATGAGCAAGTGAGGCAGACAGTAAACAAGGGAAAGAAACACTGTGCCACCAGGGCTCCTATGTATATAATACAGGGATCCAAATCATTATTTCAGACAGATCCAATCAACTGGTTTACAGCTGGGATTTAAAAAAACCTAAGTTTTTAGCCTTAATCGCAAAAAAAAAAAAAAAAAAAACACCTGACTGGATTTAGAT